GAATGCGGCCTCGTTGAAAAAAAGTCTCTCCTCTTAAGCAGTATAACCATTTCACCTATTAGAAGATATATTTATGCGCACGTATGCTAGTTCTCGAGTGAAAAGAAAGAGCTTTTATAGAAAAAGTGAACTCCAGACTGGTTTTTGTTGATGTACACCAATATGGGGTCTCCATACAAAGCTCTACAAAGGTGCGTGAAACGTTTCGGCAAATAACTCAGAAACTGTGAACCACAAATACCTGAGACTTGGACGAATTGTTATGTATTAGTCTTTTATGACATTTTGTTTTCAGTTTCTTGGCTTCTTCCACTGGACGGTTTTCAATTTATTTTTTTGTTGCGTGACCGTGAAAACGATCTATTGTTGGCTTTTTGTGGACTTTGTTCTTCTATCTATTTTTTTTCTCTCTCTTTTTTTCCCCTTTCAAATGTAAGGTAAAATATTACAACCGATAATTAGACTTGAGCTAAGATATCTGTTAGTAAATAAATAACATTTTAAAAAGGCATGCAAGAAAAAAAAGCCCCTCCGACAAGCCAAGCCTCCTCTCCCAGGGCGGGTACACGATATATCCTTGGGTGGGGAGGTGCGGTCCGGCTCCTCATACCCTGACCCTGTTTAAGATAAAAATCGCTGATTTTCCTACCCTGTTTAAGACAGAATTCCCATTTTTGATACCCTGTTTAAGACATTTAACCCGAGACCATACCCCGTGTAAGACAGTAATAAATATAAATTTTGCTGTAGTTTAGTTTGTAGAACAAACGCGCAGGCTGTTTATCGTCCAAGAAAAGATACCCTGTTTAAGACAAAATTGATAAAATCGATACCCTGATTAAGACAAAACATGATAAAATCGATACCCTGTTTAAGACAAAAATCCCAAAAAACATACCCTGGCTGGCCGCACGTCCCCATTAAGCCCTTATAAGGGAGTACTCCCCCCGGGCCTCCTATAGGGCATAGGCGCTATCCACCGATGCCGTGCCTATTCAATGTACAAAGCGCAATACTGAGGAATCTCATGAGCCTACCTCAGTGTTACCATCTCAACGAGGTTTTAAATTAGCCTCTTTAAATATCAATAAATTAATCACACACATAGATCAACTTAGAATTCTTCTAGCGCATAACGAAATAGATATTTTATCGATTAATGAAACTAAGCACAATGAAACTATTAGCGACAATGAGGTCAACATCTCTGGCTATGATATAATTCGACGTGATAGAATTACAAACGGTGGAGGAGGAGTGTGTTTCTATGTGAAAAGTTCAATAAATTTTACCATACGAAATGATTTAAACATGGACACTCTTGAAAATCTATGTCTGGAAATTCAAAGACCTAGATCTAAACCGTTTGTTGTTGCCACGTGGTATAGACCACCTGATTCTCCTATTGGTATTTTTTCACCTTTCGAAACTTTAATTGGGAAACTCGATTCCGAAAATCTTGAATATTTTCTAATGGGAGACCTTAACTGCGACATGATTGCTACTCGATATGACAACAATACATGCAAATTAATGAGTATTACTGATATTTATGGTCTACAGCAACTTATCACTGAACCAACCAGAATAACTCCGACTTCTGCAACTTTGATTGATGTAATCTATACTAATTGTCCAGATAAAGTTGTGTGTTCGGGGGTTCGTCATATCAGTATTAGCGATCATAGCATAGCTTTTGCCTATCGAAAATTATCCGTGAATGGAATGTCTGGTGGGCACAATACTATAACCTACAGAAACTTTCGAAAATTTAATCGAATAAATTTTCGGAACGATATTGCATCTCATTGTTGGGATAACAAATACAATTCAACTGATCCCAATGAAATGTGGCTACAATGGAAATGCTCGTTTCTATTTATTGTTAACAAGCATGCTCCCTTGAGAGCAATGCGTGTTCGCACGCGTAGTTCCCCATGGATTACATCTGAGCTTAAGAAACGAATGCATGATCGGGATATTCTAAAGATTAAAGCAAGTAAATTGAATGATTCAAATGACTGGTCACTTTTTAAAAAACAACGCAATATAGTAAATAGCGAAATCAGATTAGCCAAGCAAGCCTATTATCAAAATAGTTTTAACAAGTATACGGGCGATTCTAAAAAGACCTGGCAGACTATCAGTGAACTTACTTCACGAAAATCCGGGAAAAAATCGGTGGAGTCTCTGAAAGTAAATGGAGTATCAATACCAAATCCAACTGTGCTGTCGAACCAATTTAACAATCACTTTGCTACTATCGGTCCAGAACTTGCCAGCAATATTGATTCCTCAAATAGTGATGGTTATCAAAAGTACCTCACTGGCGCAGATAAACGGTTTCAGCTCCATCCGACCAGTACAAATAAAGTTCTCTCACTTTTGAATCGTCTAAATAAGTCAAAGGCAGCTGGCCTTGACAAGATATCTGCTAGGGTCATTTGGGAATGTGCAGATCTCATTTGCATTCCTATCCGTGATGTTTTTAACCAGTCAATAAGTCAAGGCATATTTCCGGATGACTGGAAATGCGCAAAGGTCACCCCACTTTTTAAACAAGGCGATAGGGACGACTTAAATAATTATCGTCCAATTTCGGTGATCTCAGTTATGGCCAAGGTCTTTGAAAGAATCGTCTATGATCAATTATATACCTACCTAGACGAGCACAATATAAGCTGTAAATATCAATCAGGCTTTCGTGCTATTCACTCAACTGTCAAGGCTCTCCTTGAGGCCACGGACACTTGGGCGTACACTGTTGACCGCGGTAAAATCAACGCCGTTGTTTTCTTAGATCTCAAAAAGGCCTTCGACACAGTTGACCATGAGATTCTTTTATCAAAATTAAGCAATTACGGCATATATGGTAACGCGCACAAATGGGTTAAGTCATGTTTAGAGAATCGTACTCAAATATGCTCCATCAACGGATCGCTCTCTCAAAGCTGTTTATTAAGTTGTGGTGTTCCCCAGGGGACGATTTTAGGTCCACTTCTATTTCTGTTATACATCAACGATCTTCCAGACTGTCTTTCAAACTGTGAGCCGAGGATGTACGCTGATGACACCCACCTTACATACGCAGGTGATAATGCAGACAATATTCAGTTGCATCTAAATCAAGATTTAGAAAATGTTCACAATTGGCTGAGAGCAAACAAACTTACTCTAAATATGACTAAAACCGAATTTATGCTTATCGGATCTAGGCAGAGGCTAAGTACTCTCACAGAGTCCCCGACATTTGCAATTAATGATTTTCAAGTTAGCCAGGTCACCACTGCAAAATCACTTGGAGTGACCATCGATGACAGACTTGATTTGAGTGGCCATATCGAGAAAGTAACAAATAAGAAAGTCGCTTCTGGTATTGGGGCCATAAAACAAATAAGGCACCTTGTCCCTCAGGCGACCTTACAACTAATATATCAATCTTTAATACAGCCACACTTTGATTATTGCAACATTGTTTGGGGAAACGGTGGGATAACTTTACAGAATAAGGTTCAAAAGCTACAAAACAGAGCAGCCCGTGTTTTGACCTACTCAAGCTATGACGTAGATGCTGGTCACCTTTTCAAACTTGTAGGGTGGAAAACCCTAGCTTGCCGACAACAAGTTCAAAGAGCTACGATGGTTTACAGGTCTCTGCACGGGTTGAGTCGCATATAACCTTAGGGACTCTGAAAATAAAGTCAATGTTCCATTACCGCGCAAAAACTATTACCAAAACAGCTTCAGCTATAGTGGCGCCATTCTCTGGAACAGTCTTCCTTGTAACTTAAGGGAAGCAGAGTCCCTTGGGTAATTTAAACGATTACTGAAAGAACTGTAAGGCACGGCATTCGTGGAAAGCAGCTTTTTTATTTAAATATTTTTATTATATTTATTTAGTATTACGCATTTTTATAGCTGACGAATTTTGAACCGTGGATAAATAAAGATTATCTATCTATCTATCTATCTATCTATCTATCTATCTATCTATCTATCTATCTATCTATCTATCTATCTATCTATCTATCTATCTATCTATTTCTCAAGCTGTACATTCCAACGGTGAGGAATTAGACTAAAACAAATACCGCATTTTTGCGTATTCAAGTACGCGCGAACAGTCAAACAAAATGTCTGGAGCGAGGTTGAAAACCGACAGCGAGACTCTTAAGCTGAACTAAGCTACACTAAACCGATTTTGAGAAAAGAACCGACTGTTTCGCTGTCTGGTGAGAAGTTAGTAACCTCGTTCCCAGGTTATCTTTCCTGAGAGAACCCTGGGAACGAGGCTGAGAAATTGGTCATCAAGGGACTGGCCTGAGGTGGAGAAGGCAAGCCCGGAGTCCGCGCGAACGCGGAAAAGAAACGAGCCATCGCTGCGGAGAGTAAGGTGGGGAGACAACCTGATAACTGGTTAATGGAGAGAGAATGAACATGATAAAACACGTCTTCTAAACTCGTCACCAGGGCAGGAGAGGCGGGTCCGGAAAATTAAAAGTGGTCTCGAATCAGGAACACTGAAAATGACCACGGCCAAATTTAAAGTCAAGGGGCGCAAAGCATTAAATTACAGCTACAACAAGTATGCGCGAATCCGAGGGAATGCACACGGAAGCGCGCGCACGGGTTAAAGAAATACGATTACGACAGACTCCCTCACAGGGCATGCGCCGTACGATGTGACATCATCGTATTGCAATGGGAAGGCAGATCAACATTGCTGTCGATCTTTGTGCCAGTAAATTCAATAAGACAAACTTGAAAGCAAGTGGCACACACGTGACCAACCCACGGCCTGGCCAGTACCTAAACGCAGGTAGGCATGTAGGTAGGTACTGGCCAGGCCGCGGGTTGGTCACGTGGGTGTCACTTCCCCTTTTAAGTTTGTCTAAGTATAATATAAGACAGAAAGCACGACGAACAGTTCTCGTCACAGCTTACTTCTAACCTGCACTTGTCTTTCATAGAATATTGCAGCCATGTGTCTTGAAAACGCAATGTGTTTACGGCGGAACCAAACTGGTGAAACAGAACTAAACGAGACTGAAAAAACAGGAAAAAACTGCTATGAAAGTGACGACGAAAGCTGTTACACACCTCATTTTAGCGCCGAAGTTGACCTTATTGCGATTTTCGTGGCTTTCCTTATTGTTGTCTTAAACACCATGGTTTTCATCCTTGTGGCAAAAAAGCGGTCATTAAGGACAACAACTAATAATTTCCTGATAGGCCTGGCAGCCAGTGATCTCCTAGAAGGCCTCATCGGCCTACCTCTAGTTATCACATGTAACATTTTTATGGAGCACGGAGTTTGTTTTTCCACTATTTACGTGTGGATGTTTACCTCCTTTCTGACCATGTCGCATATTATGGCTGTCACTGCTGATCGCTTCATAGCTATCATGTTTGCTCTGCGATATCCTCAGATCATTACCAAGCGTCGCTGCTATATCACTCTGGGGTTTGTCTGGACCTTTCTCATTCCTGTTGTCACTGCTTCAGTTATGGTGGATACAGCCTACAGACTACGATCCCGACGAGAGTATTCCTGAAGAACATTTAAACAAGGAAGTAGCTTATTGTGTTATCAAGCCTTGTAGTATACCTCTTTGCACCAACGGGGTTCGTGACATTTACTTATCTCATGACGCTTTGCGAAGTACGGCGACAGAATCGTCAACAAATTTTAAACGTGCCGGCGGATTTGCAAGAACACCGGCAATGGAATAAGCGACAAGGCAAAGCCGTTACCGTTTTCCTTGTGATATTCATAACGCTCGTTGCATGTTGGCTACCGTTTTGTGCGGTTGACGCCTTCTATCTACCTGACTGGGTAGTGTACATGATCGCGTATTCCCGGTTTGTGTCACCAGTTTTAAATCCGTGCTTGTACATCTTCGGCAAGCACGACTTCAAGAAAGCTTGGAAAGATCTGTTTATTTTCAAAAATACGGATAGAGACCGGACAAGATCTGATTTACTAATGAGTAGTCAGTTGTAATTACAGTCCAGTTTAACGCTGTTTTTTAAGACCCAATACTTTTAAAATATTGACTTAAAGACGGCCAAAATTCCTTAATCATTACTTACTTACTAATGTACTTAATTCCACTACTTAGGACAGATCAAGGAAGCTTTGAACACCTGTTGGTACTTAAACCTAAATCATATATGATATGTGCAATCAACTTTGGTAGTGATACAATTTGGATCTGTCACAGTTTCTCTGATCACACAACGTTTGTTTCTTGCTATGAATCAGAAACTTCTTAATTACACACTAAATTTTCAAAGTACGATAGCGTAGTCAATAATGTTGCCGTCTCTTCTCTATTTAATTTAAAAAAGATGATGGTATCAGTTCTCCAAGTCAGGGGTCTTGACAGCCCCGTAGGGAGGGGGGAACGACGGGTGTGTTCGCACCCCTCCCCCACAGGCCCATTGGTCCCCCTTTTTGTTGATCAACGACTTAAGACTATGTGAGTTAATACTATTTTTCAATTCTAATTCAATGATTGTGGAGCACAATACAACTTTTTATCTTTTATGTTCTGTTTTCTTAATTCAAACCATGTGATGTTCTCCAGGGAATTTGCCTTTTTTCTTTTCTTTAATTATGCATACATAGGCACGTGGATGCACATGCGTAAGACGAAATTTGAGAAAAAAAAAACAGTTCTCTGGGGTACCATCACGTGGTCTGAAATGGGAAAACAAAACTTACAAGCTAAAAACGTCTTTTGTAAATACTATGAAGAGTTGACAAGGCCTGGCTCACGCTTTCCACAAAACGTGTTTAACCTTTTTGTAAGAGTTTAAAAAAGGGGGATTTGGTGTGCCTACAAGGCATTTACCTCTTGCTAATTCGTCGCCTTCTCTTTCATTTTGTTGGGTAAGGTCTCTTTTGAAGGATTCGTAGGCCGATTGAACAAATGTCTCATTTGCCACCTTTCTTTCACTAAGAGGTCATGTGGTCTTTTACTGTACAGTGGCTGCCTGTGGTTTCTTATCTTTGCTCTATCAGAAATATACCTCTGATCGCTAACAGGAGATGTTAGTATTTTCCTTTCTAATTTTCAAAAGTGGATCGCTAACCTTTAGGCTTTGTTTCCATAGTTTCCTCCAAAGTGTTGGATCTGAATTATTATTTTTAACAGTGAGTAAGAGGCTCCATGGTATGGTTTTGACAGATGCTGGACCCAGCTCTCTAGCGTTGCTTGCAGGATATCAAAGCCCCTATTAAAGCTACCCTACTTTTGTAGTAAAAAAAAAAATGCCCTGTCACTAGGTCAACGGCGTTGCTTGCATCAGTCAACCCCGAGCCGTTTCATATTAGAATAGAGCAAATCTTAGTACTGTAGCACGATGATGATAGTATTCATCCCTTACATTTAACTTTGTTTTGTTTTGTTTTTTTGTGTGGCGAGGAACAGTACAAACGTTCTGTCTGGCTTAATGTTGACCTTACGCAGATACGCATTTACAAGGCCATATCAAGGATCGGAAATTCCAGATTTTTCTTAACAGCCACTCACAAGGGGTGGATCACTCATCCTCTTGTGCTTGAAAGACTGTTCCTTTTTATGTATAGCCCTTTGTTTTAGAGTATAGTTTAAAATTTCTGCTGATTTCTGTGACCTTGAAAAAGAAGTATTTCCGGCACAAGAGAGCCTCTCTTCCCGGGCTCTTAAGCGCATCCACTATCTAACATACATTGATCTGAAAGAAGTCGTTGATCTGTTTCTAAGAAGCAACCAAGTAGGCTTGAGCTTGGCACACTATTGAGTTTTTCTCTCGCGGCGCTTGGCTTTGAGGAAAGAAGGACGACTGCTCACGGTCTACAACCTGATCGCAGGTTAAACATACCGTAAATGATCTGATAGACGCCCCAGGGCGTCCATTTAATTTTTGGACCCCAAGTAGGCGCGTATTATAGATAGGAGGCGTCAGAGAGGCGTTTATTCTCATAACTGTATCAAATTTCACAAAACTAAAAATCGGTGCAGTATATAAAAAACAGAGTATCCAGTCCATCCATTGGTTAATCAAGGCCGTTTAGAGAAAAGATCAACTTCAATGCCAGAATCCTTACTTTGAACTTGACACTGAACAAAATGCAACGCGAAAACTCTTGTTAATCAAAGAAAAAGTGAAAAAATTGAATAATTGTGTCGATCGTTGTTACTACATCCTAGTATCTTTGCTCATCAGAAATTGACCTCTGATCGCTAGCAGTCTATTGGACAGGGGGCGTTAATTATAGAGGGCTGTTCAATACAAACTTAAAAGTGTTGGGGGAGGGGTGCCTATTAGCGTCAAGAAGAGTTTTCTCGAGAGAGGGCGTCTATTAGATCATTTACGGTACAAACAGTTCAGTGTAAGACTGTTAAAATGTCAAACCACAGATGAACGCTAGAGAACAGCTTCAGAAATTAGAGTGGTAGGCTTCGTAATTTGTGATGATTCACTGGCTCCAGCGGTCTGATGTTGTAAGAGGGTGAACACTGAGTCTTGGAAGTGAATGAAACTAGAATATGATTTCTGACGCAGAAACACGTTTACAGCTTTTCTATAATGTTTACGACTGTTTAATTTGCTTCATGTGTATATCAATCTAACAATCAATCTAATCAATCTAACGAGAGAAGCAATAACGGTTGAAACTACAATGCCATTCCAGATACTTCGCCTGAATAAAGGTAACCATTGTGGCTTGTTCTCTTTCACACATTTTTCCAATTCCATGGTGCACTGGAGATATAATGGAGAAAAAAAATACATTTTAAAATTTCAGCGAAATCAAGAATTATCTGTCTCAATCTTAATGGAGCCTTTTATTTACTCAGTATTTTTGACAGAAAAGGGACCCATGGCTTTCTCATACTTGCTATTCACAAATGATACTGCTTTCCCTTATCTGGTTTAGAACACTGTATCTCTTCGAACTGCTATAAATTTAGTGCCTTTTAAAGACAATTTCAGTTAAAAATGCCCTTATAGGTCTTTCTACAGACCGAAATGACAGTTTCCCATACCCTTTCATATACTTTAACAACTGAAATCCCTATCCTTTCTTATACTTGTCTTTTGGGTGCAGGGAGGGGGGGGGGGGGGGGTCCCCGTATTGGCCATTATAAGGAGTACCACCCAGGTTTTGGTTAAATTTCATTAACTTATATTAATTTTTTTTGTTCAGCTGCCATTAAAAAATAATAAAAACTCTGAGACTCTATGGAAAAATCACACGTTTAAGGAATACAAATTGCAGATCGTTCAATTAGGGAAGTCAGGGAGGACTTACTTACTTACTAAGATTTACCTA